TTAAACAATATCGGGAATCTGTAAGGAAACATTATGCTGAACTCCGAACTGGTGATAGGGAAGGACTCCCAACAGATTTAGCAAGACCTTTATCAGTTGGGCAACGAGTGATTGCTCTACATCCCAAGACAAGAGAAGTTCATGATGGAAGTGTGCTCACAGTTGATCACGATAAGTGCAGGGTTCAGTTTGACCGCCCAGATATAGGAGTTGAATTTGTCATGGTATGTCATACTTTCCATTTTGTATTCATATTGTCACTGCGGAAAACTCTTTTGAGTCTCTCTCTGTCCCTCTCTCATTTTCATCAAACTATCTTTTGACACACTTACACCCATCTTCACACACAAAATATGAGCTTATTTGATCTTTAGTGACTTTAATAGTAGCCGATGCTAGGTAAACTATTTTCCCCTAACCATTCTATCTGATTATTCATTATTGAATTGAGATACTTGATCTTTTTTCTTTTTCTTTTTGTAAATTAAATATTAGGTGCTATTTGATACATTAATTTTAGTTATTACTTTTAGGCTATTACATGATTATTAAATTATTTTCTATATTCTGTTTAGATTTTGCGGAACTGTTTTATGGATCTGAAATTGAATATAAAATTATGAGGCTATTGATTACAATAAAAACTATAGTACAAGAACCATAAAAACTTTAGGTTACATTCAAAGGTTACAGCCTAATTATACACTAATGAAAAGAAAGATGAACCCTGATGATTGCTCCTGAGGTTGCTCTTTGGTCTGCTGCGTGAAGATTTTATTATTTCATTATTTTGGTTACTTCGGTTCCTATTTCTTATGTTCTGTCGAGAGTGAGTGAATGTGCTACATTAGGACAATCTATTTCTTTCTTTGAGATATGACATGAGAATTTTTCATTACAGGATGTGGATTGTATGCCGTTGAACCCATTGGATAATATGCCAGAAGCTCTTAGGAGACAGAATTTTGCTTTTGACAAATTCTCTCTTACATCTAAGGAGGCCAATAAGAATGGGAATCTAAATTTTGGAGGCCCGCATTTCGAGAAAGCAACTAGCCCCATGAATACTTCCGTAAAGCAGGGAAAGGTCAGAATTTCTACTAAGCAAAAATTGTGCATAACATCTGCTCAGTTCATAGAATCCACTGCTTATCTCATATTCTGGAAGTCCTTTTCGTTTTGTAGATGTTGCATTTGACCTTAGTTTTATCTTTGCATTTTCATTAACATTTTACAATTTATGATTATGGTTGTCACCTGAACTGAGCTGATGTTACGCACAATTTTTTTTCTATAATTTCACTTGGGAAGCGCAAAACTCCCAGATGCCCCTAGGTTCACAATCACTGGTAATCACGTTCTTCTACTGGTAACAGGCATTTAGTGGCCAACCCAGTTCGTATGTACATTTGAGAGTAAAAGAGAGATTAGGGAAAAAAGAGAGTAGAAGAGAGACTTACATAGATGAACCTAGTCTTCGTAATGGGTGAACTGCATTAATGTTTTTTTATAGAGAAAAATAGGTATCGGGTCAGGGGGGAGGGTGTTCCAGTGACATGGATCAGTCTCAGAAGTATGGATACTAGTTGTCGTATATAATAAACTTAATTTTCTGTACAATTTTGTACAGGGGGATTCAAACCATACAACTTCACAACCAAAGGTAGCTTCTGCTGATATTGATAGAGCACAAGCACAACAGTCAACATATAGTCAACCTGGTATGGTGGTGGCACATAATCAAGCAAGAGACGCAGACATACGAGCTCTTTCTGAGTTGACTCGTGCTCTTGATAAGAAGGTTATAACTTCTTTTTTTATCCTTGAAGTTGATTATAGATGTATATAATTCATTTGGGAACATTCTGATGCCGAACTGCCCATGCATTTAGTTGTCTTCTCGTAATTTCAGTTGGCTTGAAAGCTGTCTTCCATATGTAAATCTTTTGTTCAGTGTTTTCAACTTTTAAGCCACTTCCTCCTAGACTCCTTAGGTCTTCTAGAATTTCCTCAATATGGTGGTTGGTGATACGTAAAATGTATGGAACAGCTGAAAGATCCAGATTTCCTTACAAGTGGACTTGGTGAAACCAATGATCAGCATTGTACTTTCGCTTATCTTTTTCCACCTTGATCAATTGTCTTAGTGTTGTCTATCCCTATGAATCTTTCAGCATCAAGCTTCTTTGATAATCTTCCTTGAATTAGTAATGATGTTCAGAAAGAGTTCATTTTGTTTTTGGAATTTTAGGAGGCATTGTTGATGGAGCTTAGGAACACAAATAATAACATCTTGGAAAACCAGAACAGTGGAGAATGCTCTTTAAAAGATAGCGAGCCTTTTAAGAAGCATTACGCCACGGTACTTGTACAGCTAAAGGAAGCCAGTGGCCAGGCATGTGGCTTCCGTGAATTTATATCATGCTTTATATCTGTGTTTGGTGTACCACATTCTGCTCTGACCTTGTAGCGGCCTTATAATACTTTTGTTTCCGCATGCAGGTTTCTTCAGCTTTGCTTAATTTGAGGCAACGTAATACTTATCCAGCAAATTCTCTGCCTCCTTGGCTGAAACAGCCAGCCAATTCCACCGTCTATGGTGGCCTCCCAAGTTCCTTCGACAGTTCCATTTCTCAAGAATCAGGATCTAGTGTGGCTGAAATTGTTGAAGTCTCAAGATCGAAAGCACATATGATGGTAAATGCTGCTATTCAGGTATGGAGGGTCTCTCCCTGGTATAAAGTCGATGTGTTGTAATTTTGGCTTGTAGGATACTGGTCTTCCCCGTTTGGGCCATAACTTGCCCTTTGGGTGATCCTTTAGTAATTTACAGATCAAATGGTTGAAAATCCAAGCATTGTTTTTCTTTGTTCTTTTGTTGAAGAAAATCCCAGAAGTTGCTCTTATCTTTATTTTTACCTTATTCTTTGGCATGAAGATAGAAGGCAGTTAGTGTGATAACACAATGATTCTGTGTCATTGCAGGCAATGTCATCAAGGAAGGGAGGGGAAGATGCTTATGTAAGGATAAGAGAGGCTCTAGATTCCATTGATAGCCAGCATCTGCCATCAGACTCTAGATTATCTCTAAACAGGTCTCAAGAGCAAGTAAATGGTAATTTGGGCCATCGCAATCAGTTGATTTCCAGTACATCAGATCCCAATTTTACCAGTGATTCACCTGGTCCAAAGCCGAATACTGATAATGAAAAAACTGAGGCACAGGTTCTTTCAGACGTTATCTCTGCTTGTGTGATGGCTGTGCACATGATACAGGTAAACTGAATATGCTCTATCCCACTTGATACATTACATCCCTGTTCATAATGAAAACTCAAGTAATCGAAAATGAAAGACTGCCTTTTATTAAAGTCCAAAGCGTGAGAGAGAGAGAGAGAGGACCTGTAACTGCATTATGCTGAATATTTTTTGCTTGTGGTGTGCAGACATGCACCGAACGACAATATCCTCCGGCTGTTGTCGCCCAAGTATTAGATTACGCTGTCACAAGCCTGCATCCACGGTGTCCGCAGAATGTTGGAATTTACAGAGAAATTCAAATGTGCATGGGCAGAATCAAGACCCAGATATTAGCACTGGTACCGACTTGAGTCCGATGCTTCCATTCAGTCCCTAGAGTCATCTCATCTTGATTTCTAAAATTATTCCATACCAAACTCAACTGACTGACGATTACGTGGATCAGATTGAGTTGCATGGCTCTTGCGAAGAAGCCTGTAAATTAGAAGCAGCAGGTCCGTGTATATAGTTGATAAAGGCTTTGTTTGGGGTTTGTTCTCTGTTTTTGTTCTTTTTCGGTGGTAACCAACTAATGTCTCTCACATTGGCCAATAGAAAAGACCAATACATGTTTCTGCTTAACAGATTCTCAATCATACTGGTGCCTGTAGCTGCAACTCAGCTATGCTGTGATCTATATTTTCTGATTTTGAATAAGTGATGGCTTCCAACGTGGTCGAAGAAACCACTCGTCTAAAAAGATAAGTAGAGCCTATTTTCTTTCAGAAATTTGAAACTGGATATTTGAACAATTTTTTGCACATTAAATGTCAATTTTACTCTTGCTAATGAAATTAGGAAAATAACAATCCAACGACTGCAAACGAACCCCAATTCTCATTCTCGGCTGGCGCCCTTAGTAGAAAAAGGTACATAAATATAAAATGGGCATAAATGTAAAATATAGGTAACTTTTTGAATACTTTTTTGGGAGTTTCACTAAAACACCCAAAATGGAGGTTGAAATTATAAAAAAACCCAACACCCAAAACACTTTATAAACACACCCAAAATCCATTATTATACACACTCAAAACTCATTTATAAACACACCCAAAAAGTTGACTTTGGGGTTGATTTTGGGTGTGTTTCTATGTTTAAATAGTGCTTGGGTTTTTTTATAAATACATGTCTAGGATTGAGTTTATTTATAAATTTGTATAATTTTTTTTTATCGATGATTTTATGTTAATTATTGAATAATTCTAACTTTTCCTCTCGCCCCATGTTCATCTTGTAAAATGGTTTCTGTGCATACCCTGATGGAGCTTTTCAAATGCTTTTTTTTTTTGGACGGAATCTATTCAAATGCTTGTCACTCATTTTTCAGTGAGAGTTTTAGGATTAACTTACCTTCAACAAAATTTACTTCCCAAGCAATTGAAGCTTAATCATTCAGAATCCAGCAACGACACCTCGGCTGACCTCATTTGCCACTGCTAGTGAGACTGGACATGACACCCATGGGCCATAAGAGGAAGAAAAAGTATCATGGGAACTTGAGAAGTATTTTGAGTTTTTTGACCAACCACAGTAAGATATTGACAAGCCATCCCCAAAAAGCAAAGAGAAATAAAACCCAACATCTAAATTGCCAGTTTCTTGCAATGCAAGGTACCGCAAGAGGTGCCATGTACACTACCAAATTCTTTTTGCAGTCATTCTATTAGCTTTAACATAAAAGACCGCGGACAAGGTGAGGTTGATAAATAGGTTTATACCAATGAAAAAGGGAAATTTTGAATCCTCACAATTTACAGATTCTCTCTTTGAAATTTCTATTCTAGCAAAAGATGGGGCTCAGAAACACGAGGCCCGTAAAAGATCTGAGTGATTAAATGAAGCCATTCAGCATGTGTAAGACATAAAAAAAGTGTCCAAAGGGAAATCGCCCCCAATGCCACTGCCACAAGCTACGCCATGGTATATCGTAGCCAACATCTTTAAGATAGCTAGCCTAGCAAGAACCTGAATACATCACTCAATGAAATAATCCCTTCTACACGTTTGCTGCCAGCCTCCACAATCACCAGCCTCCTAACCCCTAAAAATATAAACAAAGGAAGCAACTTCTAAAGGAAATATATATATATACATTTATCTAATGCAAATAACATAAAAGGAAAGCTATTTTAATTATACTAAAATACCAATGCAGATGAGCAAGCAACGTACCAGGATTAGCCAAGCGCTCGATTACTTTATGCAAAGGATCCGATCGCAAACACATCTGACATCTCTGTCCACTGAGGAAGCCATAAGGAGAATTTGCATCTTGTCCCAGTTGCAATGTCTACAACAATACACAATGCAGACAAGCACATTCAGTTCTCGAAGCAGTGGAATACAAGTTTGCAAGTTACAACATCATAGTCAGACAAGCACTTCAGTTATTGTCCAAGGAACTTTTAGTGTTGCGCCTGACTTTTTTATTACCAAACATTTCAAATGTGAAATTTTACCTGATGGATGCTCAATTCATCTAGGTGAATCTGTGTATAAGCTTTATCTCTTGCCAAAGCGGTAATATCACTGGGGAAGATATCACAGACACATTCCACAATTGGTCAACGAACAAAGGATTAGTTATACATAAAACTTGATGCACATATAAATTTAAAAAATTTAAATATCACCTTCGTGAATAAATATCCAGCAACGAATCATTCTCATCCACAATGGGTATTGAACTAACTTCAGCTGCAAAAGAGACAGGGCATCAGCAAGAGATGAATTATCACCCACTATGGGTAGTGAAGCAAATAGCTAGAAAAAAAGATATATAACCTTGTACCAACAAAGACAGAGCATCAGCAAGAGAAGAATTTGGTCTCAACATTGCCAACGGCCGTCCATTTGGCTCCCCAATATTTGGAACCCATGTACCTATAGGGAACTCAGATATAGGATGTTGGAGAATGGGCAAGGAGCTAGAAGAATGTCTAAAATGCCTGCATATGCCTGAAAGTTTTGTTACAGATTAGTAACTAAATGCCTAACCTTAACCAAAATACTGGAGAAAAACTTACATTTTAGTATTCCAGAAAGAGAAGCAAGATGCAATAGCTGTGGAAATGAACCATCCTGTGAAGAAGAATGGACAATTGGAATCGTAGCCACCTTGTTTTGCAAAATTCCCAAAGCAACTTCTTTGAGAGAATCATAAGGCCCAGCCTGCATATCAAAACAGTACACATACGAATAAGCATTATCATGATGTGAAATCAAGAAGCTTCAGTGAATCCATGTTCTGCCATAATTCAGCACCAGAACCCTTAAGAAAGAACATGCAGATTTTAGCTACCCTTAGTGCATATGTAATCCCATTTTTCGACATTTGAAAATTGTCATGAGCATATATGTGCTTCACGTATAAATGCAGTCATAATGAAGTACCAACTTCCAAGTTGTTTAAAAGAAAACATTACATAAATTTATGAACTATAATACACTAGATCTTAACCAAAAGGCCGAAAAAGGTATACAAATTTATTAATTATATAATTTCAAAGGGAAATATTTCATTTCAAGAGATAATATAAATTAGCACCTCAGGAGAAACTTACAGAGACCAAACGTCGTGGATAGCATCTCCCATTGCCATTAAGTTGTCTGTTTAGACGTAATTTTGCTTCTTTCCATGCTGCTATAGTATGAGTCTCAAGCTCTTCCTCAGTTAAGTTGGACCCATGATTCCCAAGCTTTCATAAAAGCCATACATTTTAATCAACTGAAAATGAACTAGGAAGTGCTTGTCTGTGTCTATGTGAGAGTGAATTTCAAAAAACAAAACAAATGCCAAGGTCACCAACATCTATAAAGCAAGATACATCTCAAGAATCAAGCATGCAGTCCACACACCAAAGAGGAAAAATGGCTAATGATATTAAGAACCACAATCTGAGATTGCCATCCATGAAAACTCATGAGCCGCATAAAACAGTTTTCACAGTGAGGAGAATGAAGAACTTAAAGGTTATTTGGAAAACGAAATATGTAACTCCAGCAAGGTTTGGAAAAGGAAAAAGAGGCATGCAACATTAGGTTGGTGGTGCCAGGAAGGAAAGATGATACATGTCTACATTATGAACGTTCAATAAGGGAAACTTCACAAGAACAAGCTTACTATGTACCTTGCAACATAGTTGAAGCTTAGAAGCATCTTAGTTACACGTGCACCTCAAAAAATTTAAACTTTCAAACACACAGATGCTTCTAAGTATTTGCATATGTATCTTACTGTGTTTCATCCAAAACTAGCATAACCATACACTAGCAATAAGGAATGACAAATTTTACACATGACACACCTCTTTCAAAATTAGGATGAAGTCCAATGCACTAAGAACTCCAACAAATTGGCCCTTGCCAAAATCCCAGAGTGGCGCCACAGGTACTCCCTGAACAGAACTTATATTAGCAACCAAGGATAAAGATAAGCACAAAATGCAAATTATTACCAAGCACGAATTGTTTAAACAGCATAGATGTCCAAAAAACTGATGTATATTGAACAAAGACAAGCAAATTAGGAAAGCTGGGGAATTAAATGGAAGTGTGCACATGTTTTTGTCGAAAAGACATTTACCTGTTCATGTAGGATATGGAATGCTTGCTTCACAGGTAAATTAACATCCAAGGCAATGACCTGCAATGTTAACACAATTACTAGATTACAGCGGTCAGCCAAATAAACTACTAACTATAAACAGTACCTGCAGAAGGGTAAAGCATTCAAACCTTGCCTGACTCAGGAAGCAACTCATAAGCAGTATGTCTGGACAAGAACATAGATATACGATGTCGAGAGATGTCGAGATCAGCCTGTGAGAACCTAGGAACTGCTTCCTGCAATAGACCGCCTTACAACATGACCCATTCTGTATTGCAAGACAACTTGAAGGCCCTCAAAATAAATACAAGCAAAAAACTTACCACATGTGTAAATACATCATTATCTACATCCATGTTGGATCTACCAGAAGTCTCAGGACTGAAACTAGTAGGAACCATATCTGGTTCCCCAGCTAGAAAGATGGTATTTACAGTTCCACAATTCCCAGTAACAAAAGGCTGCTGCTCATTATATCGCCATTCACCGTCAACGTAAAATTTGTACTGCAATTAATGGAACAACACATCTGATATCAGCATGAGACTTATTCATAATGTATAATGTGCCAGTGAGAAAGCATATCTAACCCTTGGTATGGCCACCACAGGTAGATAGCAACAAGGATATATCAGCATATTAGGAGCATTATAGATAGAGCACAACAAGCATATAGTGAATGGTAATATTATCTCACAACACAATATCAATGCAATGATTTGTACGGGTTCAGAGCTCATGTATTTTGATGATGAAAAGTTAACCCTTGTTGGCTCATTCCAAACCAAAGGAGAGGAATAGTCACTTTTGTGTTCCGCCAATTCAAACTCGTCCAGCAACATTTTTTATGTATTTGGTAGTAGAGGGCCTGATAGAGCTTATTGATGAGTACTGTCAAACGGTCCTTCAGTAGACAATGGAAAGTGTTGCTTATCCTTATTAAACCAGTGCTCTACCACAATTAGGAATTTGATATTTACAGAACAAGAGAAGCCTGATAGCTGCTCATGCTGAACGGTTTTACAATGTTTCCTACAGAAATATTTCTTCACTTATGATGTAGCAAAGGAGCAGACAATGATACAGCATAAATCACTAATCCTGTTCCATATAGTACATTGCTTATCCCTTATGCAACCAAACTCAACTGAGCAGGGCAGAGCACATGACAGTTATCCATATCAATACCTACCAATCATTATAGTGCAAGAGATGAGGACAATAAGTAAGAGTTTAGACTTCAGAAAGCTGAACTGGGTATAATAGCGTTGATAATTAGTGTACAAAATAAACCTGGTGATATCCTGGCGTTAAGTTCCAAACAACTTGAAAAACAGTTGGGCAGCCCTCCATTGGAGACATAGGTATATGTTCTAACCACCTGCGAATACAGAAAATCAAATATAAATCCATATCACATATTCAATGATACATTGAGCTCCTTTGACAGGATAAACGATTATCATTCAAATAACAAGAACTATAAGTGAAAATGGTCATTTCGATGCCACACCTTGTGAAAGAACCACTGAGAAACACCCTCCTTCCGCCATAAGGCCAAACAAACCGCGTTGGAATTAGAACCGGTCCAGAAAGTCCTCTGCTTTCATGTGCAGTACCCGGACCAGAACCAAACATTTCCCACCAAATTAGATAGATTTATATATATAAATAATGCAAATTTTTTGCCAAAAACCAATCCACAAGCTGCAAAATTCAACACCACCTTCCCACTTGATTATTTGCCGCAAAAACTCGGTACTGTTTATCACACAAATTACGAACACTTTATAATCACACTTCAAAACCCCTACTCTGTTTTTTCTTTTTTTTTCTTTTTTTTTTTTTTTGTGGCTTAGTAATAGGATCCTCCACAACTGAGCGGAGGACCCTTAAAGCTTACACATGCAGGGCCACCAAATCAAATCCAAACTCCCCCAAAACCTCAAATTTGTATGGAACCAAACCACCAATCCCAAATCACAACCCTTCAACACAAAAATCTCTGAAAATTACGCACTGCCTCCACAATCCACTCCATGCACTATGCATACAATTTGATATGTTTCAATCTCAGCGCCTTCTGATTAAATTCTCAGTCTAAAAGTCAACAAATCAAATGGGCACGAAGAAAACCCATAAAACCTTCAGAAAAATCAGCAAAAACAGGGGAATTTCCCACAGTATGATCTGTGATCTAACCCAATTCAGAGACTTTCCCACCAAACCCAATCCCAAAGCTCTGTGTTTCAGAAACTAGGTGGGAGAATTCGACTATCAAAGTGGTTGTGATGTAATTTAATGCAAATTTTGGGGGTGACAATAGAGATATATAGGGAAAAAACCCTAGCTTTGAAGAGAGAGAGAACTAAGCAGGGGTATGTGGCATTGATGGATGGTTTGGATCTTCAAAAGCTGTGTGTGTCCCCTGAGTGAAGAATCTGATGGGAAAGCATCCAAACACACCCCAATTGAAATCAAGTGTAAAAGAAAAGAAAAGAAAACATAGAGAGGGCAATTATTATAGTGGCAGTAAATTATTTTTTAATGATAGTGATGGCTAATTTCCAAAACTAAAATAATTATTAAAAGGGTAGTAGTTACATTTTCTACTTACCTTTTCATTAAAAAAAAGACAAAAGAATAAGACTTTTTACATAAAATTTAAAAAGAAATATACTTTTATCAAATTTACTAAAATTTAACACCACTATGCTATAAAAAAAATTACATGAGAACTACCACATATATGTAACACTTGAATAACTAAATTGTATACATAAATAAACCCAAACTTCTCACTTACCATACACATAAGAATGAACTATCACCGGTTTCTCATTATCATCATACAAAACTCAATTGGATTTGCTTTATTTTTACACGCATATTCACATTCTTCACTTCTTACCACTACTTTCAAAAAACAACTTGTTCCTTTCCTCCTTTCAATGAACCCAACACACAAACCTCATGTTCCATGGCTTATATGACATGGATAAACAATGAAAAAGTAGAGTTGAGCTCTTAGAAATCAGTTGGGCATTTGTTTCGACGTTACTTGAATTTATCATATCTTGATCGGTTAGGAAATTTAAAGTTCAACACGCGTGCTTTTTGTTTTATCTTTATTTTTATTTTTATCTAAAAAGCGGTGACATGAGTTGTGACATATTTCAAATGTCGTTTATTAAATTTGGGTCCTTAAAAAGCCAACTTTATATTTTGTTTTTCTAAAATATTAGATTTGAAGTGTTTTTCTATAAGAAATAAAGTTGCCATTGTCTAATATCTGCTTTTCTTTAATATATTTTGTAACATTTGCATTTATAATAATATGTGGGAGTAATGTAAAAAGCTTACAAAATAATAACTAACAAGTTACTTACATAGGACAGAGAAGGCGGGAAAAGTTACATTATTACGGCCATAAACTTTTGGGCAAAAGATTCTTACTACCTACTCAAAGATAATTGAGAGTACAAAAATGAACGAACATGGCCATTGATTATCATCAAAACAAACACTTCTGCTATATTTTTTATACAAATTTATAAATAAACCCAATTCTAGACGACTTGAGTTTTTTTATAATTTTAACCCCCATTTTGGGTGTTTTAGTGAAACTCCCTATTTTTTATTGGCACTATGGAAACATTTCTTTCATTTTATTTTTTTTATATTGTAGATTCTTTCCTTCAATTCAATTGAATTTAATGGATTTTTTTCTATAATTTTATTTTTATAAAACTATATATATATATAATACTTCTGAGAGAGAGAGAGAGAGGGAGAGAGAGAGAGAGAGAGAGAGAGAGAGAGAGAATTGTGGGCATTGGCACCAAAGCAAAGCATACCTGGTTGTTAATTATTCTTTTTATTTTCCTTGGTTTTTAAAATAATTAAGGAGTAAAGAGACTGACCGAAAATCAAAAAGCAAAAGTAAGGAAAAAGGACAGACCAAAAATATAAAAGATGTGATGGGTTGCGTTGGGTTTTGCCGTATGGGGTTAATTGGATTTGACGACGATGAAGTGATGCGTAAGTGGGCCCCATGGAATCGCAGCACATCAAAGCTGGCCCACAACTGGCCCTGATGCCCAGTCAGCCTCCGCCACCATGGGAAGAGAGAGAAAGTTTTACCACTGGGTAATCTGATTAACGCATGCGCTTTTATCCTTGGGTTTTTACTCACGCTTTCATCCATTATGAATGTCAAATATATTTTTTTATATAGCAAAAAGTCCTTTTTTTTTTCCACTAAGCTACAATTCATAATATGATGTGCTTTACTAATCTGTACAATTATGATGAGAATTGGGTTCTTATTTATCTCTCAACATTGTTATTATTTTCAGATTATTTTTGGTTAGTTTGAAAGACAATTATAATGAAAAACAATAAAATTTGATCGTTAAAACGATATTGACTCAATTTCATTTATAACTTGACGCATCAAAGAGAATATTTTCGTGTGAAAATTTGCATTAAATGCGAAGAATTTTAATTTATATTAATAGATTGTTAATTAAGGCAAAAGGACGATCAATTCTCTCAACACACAATAACATAAAAAAAGTGCCACAAACTTTATGTAAATGGATTACTCAAAAGACAAAGACAATATATAGCCATTTTTACACCCAAGTATGCCAAAAAATTATTCACTCACTGAAAAAAAAGGGAATGGGCCAGATGCATGCATGATGCATTTTGAAAAGCTTGGTGCTTCCCAATGTCTCAGTCGAGCTTAAATTGGGTAGACAAAGCCATGGAATCAAATTGGCACAGAGGCACTTGGGGCCTTGTGCACAGAAAGAAAGAAGGAAAAAGAGAAAAGCTCGACTGCAACAAGGCATGTGAATTGCTCAATGCAGTGAGTGTGAGGTCCCAATTTTGAGAACCTTTTACAAAAATGTGAATTGCGTAGTGCATAAGAAGTGCACCTAATTGGTTTTTAAAGCCAAAAGCTATGAGATCAAAGTGAGTAGGCAGATTCTTAAATCATTGTCACATTTCAATTTCATACCAACCAACTTGTCAATTTCTTCAAGTAATTTGATCATGTTGGTATAGGACAAGAAGAGACCCTGATTATAAGAGATTTTCAGCAAAGATCCTTACTTTACCAAAGTATGTCTCGTCCAAATGGAATTTAATTATGGCCATGGTCTCAAGCTCAATTGCGGTCTACTCATAGGGTTGTCAAAGCAATAGTGGAAGAAAAGGTTAAATTTTTTGGGAATTTGTTCTGAATTTCCAGTTCAAGAGAAGTAGGAGGTGGATTGTACAAAAGTCTGTTTCGTGCAAAATCTGTTACAAGTATATATCTTTTGAAAAGATGGGTTTCTAAAAGCAGGTCTTTGGCAAAAGGTGGAGCTTTTGGAAGGACGACCTTCTGATAGGATCTCTGGCAAAATGTACTAATCTCACGAGAAGTTGTTGGTTTTTTTTTAAGTATATTTTTCTAAAGAGTTATTTTACCATCAATTAAAGAAGTGTTCAGCCAACGAGTGTTGGTTGAGTTGGCAAATATCGTTCTCTTCGCTATCAAAGCCTAAGTTCGATCTCGCTGCCGACAATATTTTTCAATGGATTATCTGTAAAAACAAAAAAACAAGGCTAATACCCCCTTCTTAGCTTACATTGAAATTGAAATCTGTTGGTTTGAGCTCACAGCTAAAATGATCCGGACCCTTAATATTGAGAAAGCTGGGCGCGTAAGCTGGGCGCGTAACTGGTGGTTAGCTCAGCCTGACTCCAGTGGGCTGGGCTGCACACAAGCTTGGGTCTACACATGGCCAAGTAGGCTGCGAAAATTGGGCTCAGCAGTCCTTCTCTGCTTCCGTCCAAAATGATCAGCGTCTAAAAATTTAGAGCCACTTTTGGGCTTTTGCCTTGCTGCACTAGAGATGGTGGTTCCCTTTTATATTTTACAAGTCTCCGCGTCACATTGTAAAACAAAAATAAATCGGCGAGAAAATGTATACAGGCGGGAAAAAAAGTGGAGCCTCGTTTTGTACAAGTGCTCCACGGAGAACAAACATAAACGACATGTCGTCGGTATATAAATCCATCCATAAACCTTACCTATGACGCAAATAAGGAAGAGGTCCAAAACCTAAAGCCTTTTTTTTTTTTTTTTTTGATAAAACAAAACCTAAAGCTTCTTTCTTAGACGCTCACACTGATTTAAGTTCTTGTGTGTAACTGTTTCTGCAAGCACCTGAGCTAGGGTTTCCGAGTCGACATGGCCGATTTCCAGACCTCGACTCACCGAGCCAAGTGGATCTTTACGCCTGAAGATCTGGTAATTTCACCTCCATATTGTCTTTGCTTTTCTGATTTTTATGTTCAGTTAGGGCCTGTTTGGATGCTGAGGGAATGAAGGAAAATAGAGTTTCTTTTATCATTGTTATAGTTGTTTTTAGTTTAACTAAACTAAAAAGTTTTTTTATAAATTATTTGCATTTGTAATCTTCGTTATTAGGTGTTCTTGCCTCATGCTCTATTTGATTGCTCGGGGAAACAATGAATGTGGTTTCCAACTTATAAAATGGAGTAATTTAGATGAAATTAAAGGAAAAACCGTTTTTGTTGTTGTTTTGGTTTAAGGCTTATTTGAGTTAGGACTTTAATGTTTGCAATACTTTGAAGTTGAATTGAAATTTCGTATGTGCTTATTAGTTTCATTTTCTCTGATATAGGTTGGTAAATACAAGGCTGCTAATCAAAGAGCAATACAAACATTGGAGAAGGTATGTACAGAGTCTTGCTTCATTAGTCAATGCAAGTTAGTTGTTCTTTAATTAAAACTAGTCATTAGTAACTTCATGCAAATTTGTTTTATTGTTGTTTGGTCCGCTTTGTGAACATCTCACCCACTATGCTTTGTTTATATTTATTTGTTTTTTCTGGCATATTTATTCTTCAGCGTATTGAGCTTTTTTTGTTGGAATGAGGAAATATATACCAGTGCATTGAGTATACCTTCATAGATAATTTAAGGACATGTTATCTAGCTATGCAGACTAACAGAGGATGTGTTGAAATTAAGGCAATGTCTCTAATTGGTTATTCAAGGTTAACAGTATACCTTTTCTTCTACTTCTTAGGTTTTTGTATGTTCTTTCAAGTATTTGTTGTCAAAGATGTTTGCGTTTTGTCCCATAGGAAATGAGTTATTTTTTATGAAATTCGGCTTGGATTGTTTTCAATTACTTCTAACAAATAATTTCTTGTGAAGTATGGAGCAACACTAATGGAAGTAGATGTTGATGGCACAATATCATACCCTGAACCTCAAGTTATTGCAAAAGATAATGGTAATGCTCTTTTGAGCTCCCACTCCCTATCACCACACACATACACACGTGAGGCACAAACGTAAAAGGCTTTTTTTTTAAAAATGTGTCGCACAAGTTCTTGGTTAGTTATTTTTTTTTTCTGCTTCAGAATATTTAACTGGTTTTCAATTGCTTTACTTTTTGGTCTTTAAATACAGCTGACA